CCCCCCCCCCAAAAATAAGTGAACATTAAAAAATTTAAAAAAATAATAATTAAAACGGTTGGCTTTCTGTAATGTAGATCTTAACCACAATAAAATGATGTAGATTCCAGGCCCTTGGTCCCAGGTGACTGCCTTGGTAGGTCCGAGGTGGGACCCAGTACTCCGTATTTGTTAAAAGTTTCTCGAGTCGTGCATCACAAGTTTGGACATACTCATCTAATCTGTAAAATGGGGACAGTGACTCATGGGATTGTGCTGAGCACCAGCTATCTTAATACGTGTAAAGTTTCCAGTACCTGGGACATTGTAAGCGCTCAGTAGATGTGACTGGTATCATCTAATCCCCTTGCTACTGGACGCCTCCCCGCACCCCTTAAGATTGCTCAGAATTGGCTCGCGCACCTCCAGGGATGGTGGGGGTGGGGGGCTCTGCCTCTCAGGATGAACCACTCTGTCTTGGCTCATCTGAGAGCTGGAGAACCACCCTCACACTGAATGCAAGTTTGCGTGGTATCGTCCACCGGTCCTGGGTAGCACTGGAGCAGAGGTGGTCATCAGGAGCCTTTGAGGTCCGTGCTCAGGCACCATAGGCTGACGGCGTGTTTAGTCGTGCTGCCGTGGATGTGGTGTCTGTGTCTTTTTTCCCCCAGGCTCCAGCGTAAACCTACACGAGAGGGAACAGAGGCCCAGAGAGGGAAAGGGCTGGCCCCAGTCCACATAGCAGGGTGTCCGGGGAGCCAAGAAGAGTGGTGGCCCCCAGATGGCCAGGGCTGTGTCCTCTAGGAGGGGGGGGGTGCCAGACCCCCAGAGACAGACCCAGTAGGGGGGCTGAGGTAAATGCGTGTGAGGAGTGACGTCTGTCCTGGTTGGCGGGAGGGGTGCCTGATCCCCTGGGGCCTGCGTTCAGCTCATCTCCTTCCCTGCCCACACTGAGGCAACACAGAAAGGACTGTCCCCACTCTGGGCCCACATCTGCCCTGTCTTTGTAAGGGAGCCTGAGGCAACTTCCTCTCAGGGGCTCTCCTCCCCTGGCAGCCTGGGGACTTCTAGGAACAAGGCTGTCTTCCTATTAGATCCAAGTCTCCCCGAGGTCTGTAGTTCATTCCTGGAGCTCCTGATACCTGAGCTGGGGTCAGGGGATGCCCAAGCCCCATGCCCAGGTTTGTCATTGACCCTCCCGGGGAAGCTGCCTCCTTCCAGCCTCAGCCTTGCCTCGGGAAGGGGGTACCGTGGCTGTTCCCTGCCAGCCTCACCACAGGCCCTACCTTTGCTAAATTCCAGTGTGCCTGGCTGCCTAGAGCCCGTGACTCCTATAAATAGAGGCTGTATACACCAGGAGGGGGCCTGGGCCATGTCTGCTTTGAAGCCAGGCAAGACATCTGGTTCCTGTCAGCTGGAGGTGGGAGAAGTGGGCCACTTCCTCCTGGGCTCCCAGAGGGCGGGCCTGGGCCGGCCTGAGGGCTCCCCGGACGCAGTCTGCACAGGCCTCGTGCCACAGGAGACCAGGCAGAGCGCTGAACCTCAGTCTTCTCTTCTGTACAATGGAAACAATGCTGTAAGCTGGTGCTCCACTTTCCTGTAAGAAGGGGATACTGAGTCAGCTCGGAGATAAGTGATTTGTCTAAAGTTACGCCACCAGGAAGTGGCAAAGCCCCAAATCTAACAGGTTGCCCTCTGCTACGCCTTCTTACCTCCTGGCGGTGTGTAAAAGAACTAACGCTAATCGTCGTTACCATCAGCAGCATGGACTCAGGGGTTCCTAAGTGCCAGGTGGGAGAGAAAGTGCTTTACACCTGTGGCCTCGTGTTAGCCTCACAGAAACCCTGGGAGGTACCTATCATTATTCCTGTTTTCCAGACAGGGGCCACTGAGGCCCCGAGTGGTTAACTGGCTTGCCCACGGAACTCAGGCTCCAGGCGGCCAGAGCCCAGGGGCAGCTAAAGAGTCAGTGTGAATTCACGAGCGTGTATGTGTGTGCACATGCCCACAGAAATTCCCCCCGAGGCCACGGCTGCAAACGAGTGTGCCCAGGCCTTGGGAGCCCTCACAGCCTCTGTCCCCCACAGGCTCTGAGCAGCAGTGTGTACAAGAGCGCCTCGCCCTATGGCTCCCTCAACAACATCGCCGATGGCCTCAGCTCCCTCACCGAGCACTTCTCTGACCTGACCCTCACCTCTGAGACCCGCAAGCCCAGCAAGCGGCCCCCACCCAACTACCTGTGTCACCTGTGCTTCAACAAAGGACACTACATCAAGGACTGCCCCCAGGTAAGGCCGCCCAGCTTCTGTGGGTAGAACAGTGCCCCACCCCCCACCCGGAGCCCCCTTCCACGAACCAGTGGCCACGCGGGCCTCTGGTCTCCCACCTTTTTGTCCCCTCTGGTATGTCTGAGGCAGGGCTGGCTGGTGTGGATGGGACAGAGCCCCAGCTTGAGCCTGCACCATCTAGTGAGCAATCTGGGTAAAGGGCCCCCAGATGAAGTTCTGGGCCTTCACGTCCCCAGTCTTCCTGCCAGGGTGGGTCCTGTTACAGTGGGGCAGGAGCGGGGCCAGCCGCCTCCTCGCAGCTCTCCCGAGAGAGACCCCCATCTCCTCACACTCACAGGGAAGGAATGCGGGCTCTGGGCCAGGAATCCAGATGTGCACCCCCTCCCCCCGACCCCACCTCTCCCGTCCTCTGTGGCAGTTTTCCTCAGTCTCTTGCCTGGGAGCGGGGAGCTGAGAGGGCCTTGCCCCCGGCTCCGTGCCCCCCAGGGTAGGCCTGGGTGAAGGCCTCAGGCACTGCAGGCTGGGCATATCTCTCTCGGGGTGGGAAGGGTGCCAGGAGGTGGAGAATGTGGGGAGCAGCCCCTGTCTCCCACTCAGTGCTTCGCTGTGACGGGGCGGGTCAGATCCCACTCACGAGACGACCTTGGACTCTCTGACCGACAATGGCTTTGGCATCTTGAGGAGAGAGGTTAGCATTGTTTTAAATACGTTAACAAGATGGTCCGTGATTTTTTTTCCTATTATTTTTCGTACTTTCTAATGTTTTCATAATGTGTATTTTTACTTTAATTTTACATATGTAATGGAAATGGGATCCTGGAAACTCAGAAAATCCATGCAGTCTTACCCTCCAGATGTTGGAAGCCTGGGGAGTGGCTGGGTGGGGCTGGGTGCCTTCAGACCAGTGGGAGGCCGAGACGGGCTTGGTGCTTCCTCCTTTTCTCAGAAACAGCCGTGCCCCGCGTTAGGTCCTTGCTACGCAAAGTGTGGCCAGGCATAGCCACATCAGTGTCGCCTGGGAGCTTGTTAGAAATGCAGAATCTTTTTTTTTTTTTATGAAAAAAATGTTTTTAATGTTTATTTTTGAGAGAGAGAGAGAGAGAGAGAGGCAGAGAGAGAGGGAGGCACAGAATCCAAAACAGGCTCCAGGCTCTGGGCCGAAGTCAGATGCTCAACCGACTGAGTCACCCAGGTGCCCCCCCAACATAACTGCATTTTAGTAAAATCCCCAGTGATTTGTGGATACCAGTGATCTCCCCCTCCCCCCACCCCTGGTTAAGAGAGGCCCACCCCAGACCTTGCGGATGGGGGCCGGCCCATGACGGCTGTCCTCCAGACCCACCCTCCAATGGGCCCCGTCTGCCTCAGCGTACGCAGTAGGCCAGGGGCCCTTGGCACGAGGGGATCTCAGCAGAGGGTAAGGCCCCTACTCCCTAGAGGTTCTCTGGATGGGTCCAGGGGCAAACCGGCAGCTAAGAATCTGGTTGCTCCTCAAGGATATGCCAATGGCCCACCCGGGCAGCGGCCCCTCGTAACTTCCCCAGCTGCGCCCCTGTGAGAGCACTCTCAGTCACTCACCATACCTCATCATCTCCTGCCTACAGCCTTTGCTCACAACTACCCGGCATGTCAGGTCTCTCATTAGCCTCATGTTACGTGATGCTTTGTGTGAGTCAGGCACTCACACAGGATCATTGAGCCAGTCAGTGGAGGAGCTGGAATTTTCACCCCGGCAGGCAGGTGGCATTCAGACCCCAACAGGGGTTCTTGGGGCTCTAAGGAGGTGTGCCTGTGCTGAGCTGGCAGCCTGGGAAAGCTTCTAGGAGAAGGAGGGCTTGAGTGGGGTTGGCGGGTTGGTGGAAGAAGGGTGACCACTATCCAAAGGCAAGGGATGATGAGGCAGAGGTGGAGGAACGTGCGTGTGTGCACACGCGCGCGCATGCCCAACCCTCTCTCCAGAAGGCACCAGAACTCTTCTAACGAGGGGGCAGAGTGTCCCTGACCTCAGTGTCAGTGCCTCTCGATTTCCAGCACAGTGAAAAACCTGGTTCTTCCTCTATATTCCTTTATCTGGATTGCACAGTATATTCACTTAGCCCATGCAGGGCTCTGAACTCTGCCTGCAGAAGTGGGAGTGCTGCATCTTACAGTTTAGTAGGAGAACCCATTTTACAGCTGGACAAACCGAGTCTCAAAGAGGTGAAGTGCTGAGGAGAGGGCAGAATATATGTGAGAACCCCAGTCTTGGGGCTTCAGTGCTCTTTGCTTTCTTGAGCATTCATTCCAACCCAGGCTGAGATGCCCAGGCCCTGTGGGGCCTCAGTTTCCCTCTTGAGCGGGTCAAGGCTCTCTTCCAGCTCCTTCTCAAACCGGATTCTATCAGAGACTCCTGCGGGCCTGAGGACCTCCCTCTACCTTTCATGAGAGTTTTATCATCTGTAAAGTGAAGCTGATGAGGACACTAACTCATAGGATTGTTGTGCAGATTCAAGGAACTAATGCATGGAAAGTGCTTAGCACAATGTCTGGCACACAGTAAGCGCTCAATAAATGTTGGTTAGCATTATTTTTTCTTTCTCCCTCGGGTCACAGTGGAGAGGTACCAGGTAAGGGATTTGGCAAGGTACTAGGTATTTTGGCAGGCTGGAATATAATTAGATGCTTCCCATCCCTCACCTGACCACAAGCTCCAGGGGCGGGTGCTGGGCTAGATTCATCTCTCTACCGCCATGCTGGCCCGAGATATCACACACAGGTGCTCAGTACAGGTCTTCTGGAATGGCGGAATGGGTGGGCAAGGCTTTCATCACATGGGATACTATGAGTTCAGCATATATAAAATATTTAAAAGTGGAATGGGAATGCTTGTTTTGGTAACACCCTTAGTGAGATATAACTCACATACCCTATAATTGACCCATTGAAAGTGGACAAGTCAGTAATTTTTAGTATATTCACAGAGCCGTGCAACCATTGCCACAATCAATTATAGGATATTTTTTTAAAAGGTCGTATTTTTTAAAGTAATCTCTACCCCTAATGTAGGGCTCACACTCAGGAACCCAAGATCAAGAGTCACATGTTCTACCAAGTGAGCCAGCCAGGCACCCCAATTAGAGAACATTTTTTAAAGTTTATTTACTTATTTTGAGAGAGACAGAGAGAGTTCGGGCGGGGGAGGGGCAGAGAACGAGAGGGAAACTCAAGCAGTCTCTGCTCTGTCTGCGCAGAGCCCATGCAGGGTTCAAACTCACTAACGGTGAGATCATAACCTGAGCCGAAATCAGGAGTTGGATGTTAGCCGACTGAGCCACCCAGGTGCCCCTCTACATCATTTTTATCATCTCAAATAGAAACCTCATACTCTTTAGCTATCACTACCTCCTGGTTCCCCAACCCCTAGCAACCAATAATCTACTTTTTATCTCTAAGGATTTGCTTATGCTGGGCATTTCGCACAGAGAGAATCATATAATGTGTGGTTGTTTGTCACTGGATTCTTTCATTTAGCATATTGCTTTCAAGGTTCATCCATGTAATAGCATTTATCAGTTCCATGATTTGGGAAGTGTTCCATCTTGTTCTGTTTTCTGGAAGAGTTTGTGAAGAATTACTATTAACTCTTCTTTAGTGTCTGGTAGAATTCACCTGTGAATCCATCTGAACTTGGGCTTTCTCTTGTGGGCAGATTTTTAAAATTATGAATTCAGTCTTTTTTTGTGTCATAAGTCTATTTGGGTTTTCTATTTCTTCTTGAGTCAGTTTCTGTAGCTTGTTTCTTTATAGAATTTGTTTATTTCATCTAAGTTATTGAATTTACTGGCATACACTTGTTCATAATATTCTCTTATAATCCTGTTCATTTCTCTAAAGTTGGTTATAATGTCCCCCTCTTTTGTTTCTGATTCATGTAATTTGAGCCTTCTCTCTCTTTATTTTTCTGTCTTTTTTTTTTTTTCTTGGTCAGTCTAGCTACGTGTTTGTCAGTTATGTTAAACTTTTCAAAAGACCAACTTTTGGTTTAGTTGATTGCCTGTACTGTTTTTTCTGTTCTCTATTACATTACTTTCCCCTGTAATCTTTTTAAAAAATTGTGGTAAAATAAATACAACATAAAATTTACCATCTTAACTATTTTCACATGTACAATTCAGTGGCATGAAATACAGTTGACCCTTGGACAACATTGGTTTGAACTGTGTGGGTCCATTTATACATGGATTTTTTTTCAGTAAAAACCATACAATACAGTAAACGTATTTTCTCTTCCTTATGATTTTCTTAATGACAGTTTCTTTTCTCTAGCAAACTTGGTTATATACAGTATAGAATGCATGTAACATACAAAATATAGGTTGACTATTTATGTTATTGGTAAGGCTATTTATTAGTAGTTAAGTTTGGGGAGAGTCAAGAGTTATACACATATTTGTGACTATTTTGGTGGTTGGCACCTCAGCCCCCACACTGTGCAAGGGTCACTTGTATATTCACCTGTTGGGCAACCATCACCGCCATCCATCCGTGGAACTCTCTTTATTTTGTGAAACTCTGTACCCATTAAGCAATAATCTCCCCCCACTTCCTTCCTTCCCCTATTCCCTGGCAACTACCATGCTACATTCTGTTCCTATGATTTTGACTACTCTAGGTACCTCACATAAGTGGGATCACACAATATTTGTCCTTTTGCGATTGGCTTATTTCACTTAGCATGATGTCCTCAAGGTTCATTCATGTTGTAGCAAGTTTCAAAATTTCCTTTCTTTTAAAGGCCAAATAATATGTGTGTGTGTGTGTGTGTGTGTGTGTGTGTGTGT